AAAAAAAAAAGAATTAAATTTCCTTCTTGCTTCAATCCAAATGTATTGTTTTTTCTTTATGGAAATTGTTCTCTTTATTACACTTCTTATTGCCTGGTATATCCTGCTTTACTCTCACCCATGTCAGATTCTGTTTCTTCTAAAAAAAAAAAGCTTTGCAAGAGGTAATATATCAATTCTCTGAACTTGTGCATGCTTTGCATATATTTTATTGTGATCATCAAAATGGAAAGAGCCACCATTTATTCAGTGACCATTTTATTCCAAATATCAGATCATAGCCTTACCTTAGTCTTAGAACAGTTCTGTGATATGGGCTCCTTGATACCTGTATTAAAGTTCAGAAAACTGAAATTTGAGAAAACTGAATTTGGAGCGGATTAAGTATTTGAAAAAAGCATTCAACTTCTGAATGGATGATACAAAATTCACAGCTAGATAATCTTTAAAGCTCACAATTTCAACCTTTAATACATACTGCCATTTAGTCTAATATTAATAGCATAGTCAATGTTTTTTCTTTCCTAGGTTACATGATGTCAGGATAGTGATTCCACTTTATTTACTTGAGTTTTCTAACATCTTTCAGTATTCAGCAACCTAATAAGTAACTCTTGAATGAAATTATTGCAACAAAAATCACAGATCTAAATGTATTTTAGGATCATTTAATGCACTACACAATATATTTTAGAATGATTGAAAAGACATACTGATAGCTTTGAAAAAGCAATAAAATCTTAAAAGATGTCATTAGTGGTAAGAATGATTATGTCAGATATCTTCATGATTCTTAAAATTCCAGATGAAACTGTTAAGATGATTGGATAATCATTCATGATTTTTTTTCAGTTTCTTTTCTAGATGGTGTGGAGTATATAAAAATGTTCTCATTTAATTCACTTTATGTGTTAAATGAATATGTTAGATGCACATTTACTTATTAATCTTGTGCTTTTTTTATTGCATTTATTTCCAGGATGGCGTAGGGGTAGATGAGAAACTGTCTTTACGGCGGGTAGCTGTGGTTGAAGATTTCTTTGACATTATCTATTCGATGCATGTGGAAACAGGGCCAAATGGAGAACAAATTCGAAAACATGCTGGACAAAAGAGAACTTACAAAGCAGTAAGTAAAAAAAAAAAAAAAAGTAAAAAGGAAGATGGCATGCATTTTGAAATTGATGTTATGGATTCAATAATTAAAAATGGATTCAATAATTAGACCATGTCATGGTCACACCCCTTATTTAAACTACAATTATTACTGTTTGTATTATCACATGTTTGTTTGCTAAGTCTATTGCTTAGGACTTAAACCTGTCCTAGCATTATCATATTATTTCATTTAAGTATGCTTAAATAATAAGTGATATTCCCAGTAAAATGTCCCCATTTGGGGAAGATATGTGCTATATAAATTATGGGTGGGAACATATGGGCTTTTACACTATCACTGTCATCTTAACATTTGTTCCACTTCAAATCATTAATACTGATATTTCCTATTTAATTTTTATAGTCATTTAGATGAAAAATTGTATGTATTTTTCTTAATGTACTCTTGTATTAAATGTATTAGTTCTGAATTATATGAATTCTTAATTTTCTAGAAGAGAATATCAAACTATGTTATTTTCATGTATCTAATGCCCTTGAACATTTAAAAATGAAAATATATAATGTTTTATCATTAATTTTATGAAAAACTAAATTAACTGTTATTGAAATTTATTGTCAAAATGGAGCTTATATTATTTAAAATTTTTTAATTATACTGAGTTTGATCTAAACATTTTAATCTAACTTCTTACTCAATTTAAAAGTTTGTAAGTTCATTTTAGTTTAAATATTTCATCCTTTATAAGAATACTGAAGAGTAAATTATTCTTTTCCAATATGAGCAAAGTAGACATCAGAAATACTTATCAGCTATCAGAATAATATCCTTCTTTAGAATTCTTATTGAACTTTGCTTTTGGCTACCTTTATATTTAACTGTTTTCAGCTATATTGAGACACAATATCAGTCTGGATCCATTTTTTTTTCAGATACAGAAAAATGTGTGAAATGCTCAAAGTTTCAAATACAGGTACATATGTTTGAAAATTAGCTACTGAGCATAAGAAATAGCTTCTTTTCCATAACTATTTTTTGCTATATTTCCAGGATCATATTGAATCTTTATAGTTGCATAATAACCCCTAATACATGTTGTATTTATATCTCCTTTTCTATGGTTTTGTTTCTTGGCTGTTTCCAAATTGCATGGTTTGTGGGCAGGCACTATTGTAAGTTTCCTTACATAATTCTGCCACATAAACTTTCTTTTGACTTACATATATCTGGAGACATTCTTCTCATGACTAATTACATGACCTAGCTCCTTAAGATGTTTTTATGTAGACTAATATTACTGAACATACTCATTTTGCTTGTCTCCTAAGCCAGGGTTATACCTCTGGATAGTAATAGAAAAAAATATATATCGATCTACTAATGTCATTAACTGTACTCTTATGATAATTCATGTTCATGACATAGCCACCTGAACTTGACAGGTCTTTGTAAGGTAGGCACATATAAGTTCAATCATATTAAATAAAAACCAAAAGTCAAGTGGCTTCGTTGTTTCTAGTAGGTGGCAGCCAAATCTGTTTAGGTGCCAAAAGCAATTTAAAAAATTATTTAATCTTTGAAATATAATTATTAATTATCTGTAATTTGCATGAGTCAATGGCATGGTCCCAAATTGTTCCCCTTGTGTTTTCTTAAATGAAACCTATGTAGTTAGGGACACCAACTTTGAAAGTATAAGCAGCTTTGGAAATATCCATTCTTGACAACATCCTATTTGAAGATCCTTCTTTCCTAAGTTACTTTTCCCCCATCTCAAGTGTCCTCACCTTTATCCAATATCAAAGTTCTTTTTCATCTAAACTTTGCCTCCTGGCATCATACAATTGTTTCCTAGCTAGGAAATATTTCCATTATGAAATAAACTTATTGTAAAAAAAAAAAATCTGTGGCAATGCCAGCAAAACTGTGTGCATGACTCAACAATGAATTCAAGCCTAATGTTAAAAATTAATACAAATGTTCAATTAATGGGGCATAAAACTAAATGCAATTTGAAATGGAGTAGCTTAGTACTATTAGGTCCCTAGACTTTTGGGTCAGAGTTAGTTCTCATTACTAATGCTGGTTATTGGTAGAATTAGCTAAATACCTATTGGATTATAATGGTTCCCATTAAGTTTAAGATTTTTTCCTATTTCTAACACATTAGCTCATAGAGCATGCATGATTATGTTTATTGACTTTCTTTTTCTCCCTTCTCCTATATAGCCAAGAAACCATACTTATACAACTAATCATTAAAACTGTCATATTGTCTTTATAATATTATCAGTAGATTTAGTGGTCATTTTATTTACTTTGCCTTTTTGCAAATCTTTCTATGTTTTTACTCTGCAGGAAACGGTGGTCCTTTAATATTGGATTAACTTTTGAATGCTGTTTGTTTTTACCTATCTGCAGTATGTCATTACTTGAAATATCTAGGCATTATACAACTTAAATTTTATTGCAATCTGATCTGACCATAGATAAAATTGGAGAGTTTATAGTCTATTATTCATGAGCTCTTTTGGAAAATCCACATAAAATGACACATTTTAGGAATCTGTAAAGGCTGTCATATTTTTTTTTTCAGCAAACAATGAATTCTGGTGTCTTTTAAGTCTTTTCTGCATTTGTTACTGTGTATATATTGTTACTGATGTACTAGACATGTTTTCTTCAAAAAATGCTGACTATCACCATATCTTAATTATCTATGGTAAACTGTAGAAAAGGGTGTGATTCATTCAAATATCTTTTACAGATAAGCTGAAAATTGAATATTATAGATGTGCTTAGTTATTTGAGAATTCACTTCAAAATTAATGACAGAAATACAGGTGGTTACCTTCCAATTCCTAACTCTTTTCAACTCTGTCTAAACTCTACCTTCAGGGACAATATCACTCCCCTCTGGCTGTTTTTAATAGCTGATATTTTATCTTATAATAAGCACAGTTGCCTTTTTTTTTGAAATATTTCTTACATTAAGTTCAGTTTAAAGGATTAAAGCTCTTTTTACTACTTATGAAAGTAACTGGTGGAAATTCAGGAATTAAGTAAGGAAGTAAGTGTTTTCAATAGAGAACAGTCTGCATATATGTGTTTATATGCACACACATTACTTGTAGTGTGATACAAGAAATGAACATGTATTACTCGCATACATAATTGCCAGTAAGTATTCATTTAATTCAGATTGGAGAACATATGCTATAACTAAAGGAAATAGGCTAGAAGCCATAAAAACTCAGTTTCATATTTTAATTTTAGCACTTCCTATCTGTGTCACTTTGGCGATTTATTTACCTTTTTCTCTGCTCCTGTTTAGAGAGAGATATGACACAGTAAAAATAAATAAGCTAGTATCTATAAAGTGCTTGCCTTAGGACAATTATTTGAATATTTTTTCCCCTTCAGCATAGAAGTATTTTATTCATACTTCTATGTCCAAGACAGAAGAAACAGAACAATTAACATAGCCATTGTTATCATTGTAATTACTGTCATAATTTCCACTGCTTGCCCTAATGTCTATGTGTCTGGAGATGGGAATAGTAATAATAACTTTCCTTATACTCTATCATGTGAATTCTATATATATGTGCTCATACTGGAAGTCCTAAGAGGTTCACGACATACTTTTATACTTTGCTAGTATACTTTATACTTTAATTGAAATGCTTTGCTAGATTGAAAGAAAATATGATAGGTCAGATTTCCTGTTTTTCTTTCTTTCTTTCTTTTCTAAGGAGCTCTATTGCAAGATGAAGTTTATGAGAATTTCAATCATTTTATATGCTTATTTAAAGTAAGTTTAGGTCTGTTAACTTCAAATTTATATTTTGAAGGAGAAAGCCACGTACCAGGTGATTTTATTCATACTTGGAATATAGAACTGACAAAACTGAACCAAAACAAATTGTAGCAATATGACTATAGGATAGAGCTATAAGAGAGCGTGGTGGGGCAAGAGTGGGAATAGATGGGGAGGAATACGATCGATTCTGGTTAATTTTACACTTTGGGTGCCTTGGTGGTGGGTGTGATGTGGTGGGTGATATATCTGAGGAAGTATGAACCTTCAACCTGTTCCTTTAATTCATATACAGTGTGAGTGTGGTAAAACCAATGTTACCTCAATAATTTTCTTTCTAAAAAGTTGAAACACTGAGTCTCTTAAAAATTTGATATGAATAAAATATTTATTTCCAGAGACATGCCATATAAAAATGTTATATGCAGATTTCTACATTCCTACTCTCAAGTTAAGAAGGAAACTCTTTCTGTTCTAGAACAATTAAACTTCAAACATTAGTTACTATCATTTTTGTCCTTTCTATAAATAATTTTGTTCAGCATCTCTAGTGCTGAACCAGATATCTTAACTTGCACCATTTTTCTGCTAGTTATATACAAATTCCCAGAATTCTTGTCAATTTATAAGATTAATGAGCAAAAATCTTAGCCATTATGTCATAAAAAATAACACTAAACTCAAATTCAAGAATTTGAGGATAATTTGCTTGACATCTTTTGGGCTCGTCCACAGTGTAAAATGAGAAAACTTCATAAAATGAAAGGGCTACATTTATTTATTTATTTTTAACCCTGGAGAAATTAGAGCAAAGATAATAATATGTGAGGGTCATTACTTGCAAAGATAATCCAATGGAAATAGCAACCAAAGTGCTATTTCCTTAGCACAAGTAGCTTTTAAACTTAGGGGATGTATCTTGCTCCCTTATTTGAATTTTTTAATTGAAATGACATTGATTTCATCATTATTTAAGTTTCTTGTTTTGTTCCTTTGAAAGGACATTAACTGGTAAACCTAGTAAAGACGTAGTATTTGATTCCATTAATATCTAGATAGTTTTCCTGTAAATAAATGGTGATAAAAATAAAAACAAAAAGGCTCTGTAGTTATCATACTGCACATATCCAGGAGTTAAAATAGCAACCTCTAAAACACACTATTGTTAACACAATTAGAAAAATTGTAA